TCCAGTGAAATATATTTATGTTTGTGGTTGTAATGTGACAAAATATGGAAAAGTTCAAGGGGTATGAATACTTTTGCAAACCACTGTATATGGACATTTGAGTGAGCAGAGGTCTGGTTATCTAAACATCTCACCCGATTGTAGAAAGGGTGCTGAGGGCCAGTCATTCCGCTGAAGTAGGAGCTGTGGGGCTGAGGAGGCAAGGACCCGGCAAAGGAGCCCGTCGGAGAGCAGACGGCAGAGTGCTGGCCGTACCCTGACTGGGGACGGGGCAGTGCCTCTTGCAGGGGCAGCGTGGGATAGGTCACTCCTCCCATGTTGATCTGCTCCCTGGCTGCACGCACATCTAAAAAGGAGGGCATAGCCAGGGGGGGAACAAGGTCGTGAGGGGAGGTTACAAGTGTTCATCTGTGGCTCTGATGGTCATGTTTTGGCCGTGACTATAAAGACCCTCTCAGATCCGCCCACACATCAATAATTTCAGTTTATTTTATGATCTCACGGGGGGGTTGGACAGCTATGAATCTACAGAAAAAAATACATATCAAACAGTTGATGTGTGCTAGAAGAAAAGCCCTGGGAATTACAAAAAGAACATTATTCCCGACATGTTGTCCTTATCTAGAAGACAGTCAAAGACCAAAGGAGTTTCCAGCAAATGAGAGCATATTAAAGCAAGCTTCAGCTGTGAATTCAATTCCCCCTCCGACGTTTGAATTACCCTGTTTGCTTGCAAACAGCCGGCACGTTGATATAATCGGTTTTTCCAAATTATACGCCAGTCAAGTGATGACTTTCACCCACGTAGGCTCTTGCTGTCCCGAACAAACATATTAACCCTTGTAAACAAACACAGCTGACCACGTGAACTCGTAAACATCATCTTAGAAGTATTTTGCCACAGTTGCTTTCCCATAAATCTATTCGACTTTGAGACAGAGCTAAGTAGGAAGATTCAGGAAAAATAAAACTCCCAAATTACAGTGAAATAACTCCAAAGACAGGAACAGAGTGGCTCTGTGTGAAGGACCCAGAAACAAGCAGGCACCAGAATGTCTCCTGGTTATACAAGTGGCTGCTGAATGACACGCTGAGTGAGACCCAATCCAGCCTGTGAACACAATGGGGCCCTTATGATGTGAGTCAGGCTCATGGGCGGGTATCACTAACAGCACTGCCCACTGGACACTGGACATCAACTACCAACTGGTCACAGAGCGAGAGGGATGACTAGATAGGGACATCGGTCACTTTCCGCTCCCCGTGGACACGTGTGAAGGTGAAAACACCCTCTCTACACAAATTTGAGAGCACACCAACAAACACACGTTACAGTCCACACACACCTRAACAGTTTTAGAGAATGAGTCTGCAGTTACCAACGGGACGTCTGGTTGTGGAGCTTGATCAGCTGCGCCCTCCATGAGTCAAGGTTGGCTGAGTGAAACAGACTTTCTGTGTGTGTGTGACTGTGTGTTTTCTGTGGTCTCACAACACTCTTGATGCAGCAGCTTCACACTAGGCGTCATTGACACGCCTGTACGAACTGAAAGGCTGCTGACGCATGGCAGCGGAACACTGCAGGGTCGAAGACTGCTGCACTTTTACGTCACAGCAGCTAAAAACTRTGAAATTCTGTGCAACTCTACGGGCAGACTGGTGACTGGGAGTGAGAACATTGTCTTGATTTCACAGTTGTGGGATTCAAAACCTGCTTGACATTTAATTGTTTGAAAATGAGAGGCGAGACGAAGCACCAGGACAGTCCCTGCAGAGGACAGTTTTAAATTAAACCCTCAGGAGCTGGACACACGGGAGGCGACGTCGCTCCCTCTCCATTCAATTCCTATGGAGATTGTGCGATGAAGCCACAATTGCTTGCCTTCCTTCAGCCAATCGACAGGCGACATTTGTTCATGTGAAATTTACACGTAGACGAGCACACGGGCTTGCAACACGACGCAAGTTGAAAAATGTTCAACTTTTGTTGCTGTCGCATAGTGCGACCAATCAGCTAGGGTTTGATTGATTGACCAATGGAAGGAGATTAAGCTACACACTGCAGTCAGAAACCACATTCAACATGGAAGAAAACRTTATTTTAACCTATTTTAAATGACACTTCATGAAGTGATTGCCGAGATACACGTAAAAAGCCACCTGTGAAAGATAATAATAATAATGCAAATGCAATTTTATGTTGTTATTTTTTTATAACCTAATCACATGCTAATTAAGGAAGGCCACAGCATGTGGTTAAAAACTCAGAAATAATAGCAGACTTGGTCAATAACATTAGTAAAGCTAAGATTTTAAAAAGTCCAACGAAAGTTCGATACAAAAACAGCACTTCCAACATTATCAAAGCAAAAAAACAAGATTGTTTTAAAACATTGGTAATCCCTGCAGCAGAGTCCCAGAGGCTTGCAGAAACCAGGCCGTTGCATAGTTTGAATACCCAACCTAGAGAATAATTTAATTATTTGTAAGATTACGGAGCGTGCACGAACCTGCTATGATCTCCCGCAGTTTGGGGTCCAGGTTGACAGTGCAGGGCAGAAACATTTCCACGTCTCTGGCATTAAGAACCGGTGTCCTGGATGAGAGGAATACCTCAAAGCTACGGATGTCCCCATCAATCTCCAGCAGGGGCTCTATGTCCTTTGTGGTGGGGATATTTTTGGAGATTCTTCAAGACAAGATGAGAAAAGTTACCTTTTTTTAAACAATCTTAACACGCTGGTTTTTTTTTTTTTTTCAGAGTTCAATCACAATTATTTGGTGATCAAGAATGCGTTAAAACAATAAAACTACAAAACAAGCCAATCTGTCAGTTTATACAAAACTGACTCGTACGTTCAAAGCAGAAGACACAAAGTGTAAAAAAAAGAAGAAGAAAAAAAAGAGGAAATAGCAAGCAGCACTGCTAAGATTAAAAAGATATGCCAACGGTCATCATCATCGTGAGAGCAGAGAGATAACTGGATTTAGAGAAGAGAAGATAGTGAAATGGGGGATGTTCGAGGACAGATAGAGTGAGGGATGTTATCTTTTCTGAGCAGAGGAGGAAACCTGAGAAGATGACAATCAGAGTAATTTAGCAAGCAGCAGACGGAAGCACGTCATGATGCGCTGCTGCGGTTAACGTGACGTTTGTTATCGCAGGCTCTGAGCAAACCCCAGGTTTTGGAGATAGCTCCATGACTGTGTGATATAGTATTTCCGGCCTACACTGCAGGAACAAATGAGCCCTGCATTTTATTAAAAACATCATATGAAAAACACACAACACTGAACTTTTACAGCATGAAATACAACTGAAACTAGTAGTTCATCAGTGGCAGCAGGATTATTGAAATAAAGTCTAAAATATGAGAAAAGTTTAGCTGCACAGAGTTAAAGAGTATCATTTAAATCAAAAATAAAATACGAAACATGAATTTATTCATGATATAGGCCATTTATCAGAAAAGTGGGCAGCTTTTATCAGATGAATGAAGAGACTCCAGTGGGAGAAGACATTTTTCTTATCCCTGCCTCCATTTGTCATCCGGCCTGTTCATCATTTTCTCAGTTGATGCTTTTCTCTCCCTACATCCTGCTTAACCTTCCCTCCTTCCAGATAAACCCCATAATACTTGTTCTCATATATCAGCCAATCTGTCTAGTGCTGAAATGGCATGCCAGAAACATGGGCTTTTCCCGAAAACTGGTGCATTTTTGAGAGTGAATAGAAGCTGGTCTTTCTGACATTTAATTGGATGATTAGAGCCACGGTTGCAGCAAACTAGCCAAGTCAAGATGGGGTCAACATCTGGGCAGAGCTCAACAGAGCACCCTGTTAACTAAAACCAGTTAACCTAATTTAGCTAGTCTGGTCAGCATTGCAAGATCTGTTAAGCGAAACTCTCGTACCTCTGTGATGAACAAGACTTGATTCAGAGTTACATAGTTTTTTTTTTAGTTTTGTTGGCTTCAAGTGAGTGAACAGGTAGGGGTCCAGACTTCTGTTCAAGGACATTTTGACAGGACAGATGGCTGGTGATGGACACATCTGCTGCTGTAGAGCTTAAACCTTCGACCTTGTGGTTAGAGGATGTCTTCAACCAAATGTAGAAGTCTGGCAAATAATACTCCAAAGTGTACGGGTGAGATGTTTTGACATAAAGTACTGTAATGCAGTACCCCATTGTCTGAAGTTTTTTAGAAAATTGTTGCTGATTTCCGTCATGTACTAAACTTTAGATAACTATTTGTAAAGTACATGTTCACCAACAATATGAAGACTGAACAAGCTGTGCCTCGTGCCACCTCTCTCAGGTGACCTCTGCGTCAGGAGATGTGTGGGATCGTAAAGGTATGGATGTTACAGCACCTGTGATGGTCACAACCCTGGTGCTAATTTAAGTAACACTGACGAAAATAACTGCACCACTGACACCTTGGCAGGGAGGATGAGGAACTTTACAGGGTGGAGTGTGTGTTTGTGCCCATGTGTAAGCACCATTCTGTGTATAGTGCGCATGTGTGGGTGTTTGTTCCTTTTCTGGTGAACTATATTAACCCGTACACAGACTAAGAGAAGCTTGTGTTTTTTCACCCCATTTCCAGCAAGATTACTGCTGTTTATTTGTGGGTCTTTAGACACAGACCAACAGGAGCCAGTGACTCACACACACACATACAAAAACACACAAAACACACAACTTCTTTTTGCTTACAAAGATCACCCTCTAAAGACTTTCTTAGGAATCCAGTTTATTTTTATAGTTTTATTCAAATTTATATATGAGGAATTTTAAAAAAGTACAAAAACGATTTCCAAAGCAAATAAATAAATATTTGTGGCTACTTTAAAATCTGTATTTTGTGCAGCTTAGAACCTTAAGGGTTGATATTTATAGCACACAACAACGGCCAATGAAAACAGATAGAAAAAGAGCTAATGTATTTAAATACACTACCAATGGAACATACAATACAAATAAAGTTTTTGTCTACATTACTCTGACACCTAAGTAACCACTTGTGTGCAAACTGTATGCATGTATTTGCGTTACTACTAACAAGCAGCAACACAAACAGCTGTGTTCCAAAGTCAATGGCATCTACCACTGAGTTACACCCAAACAGCCAGAAAGAAACAAGACGACACTGAGTCAGCGTCAGCTACTGACGTTTGTCTACTTGTCTGCAGACAGCTAGACAAAGTGCAGAACGTCTACTTTAACTACCGCCCTCTTAGTGGACTATTTTTAGATCCAGAGTCAACTAAATAAAAAGGAGGAACAACCAATAAGAACTACAATAGTTGGCATACTAATGAACAAATAGAGACAGAGACAAGTGTTACAAGAAAAAAGTAAACAATTAACAGTATAAACTGTTTAGACAAGAGGATTAAACTTTTAAAATTTGGTCAGTTTAGTAATGCAGAGTTGTTATCATTAAATGACAGATTATTTTAGAATTAGCCATTCCTATTAGCAATCAGACAAGATGGTGCTTTCAGTTGAAGTAGTCAGATTCTGATGGATTACCTTCGAGAAGACAAAATCAAGTTTAAAATGGTCAGGCATCTCAGCAGCCATTTTTGTACAGTAGAACTATTGAGGGCTCAGCTTATAGTAGCGGCAGATCAGGCACTTTAGTCCAAGCACTCAGTGTGTGGTGTGRCTACTGGGATCTTTCTAAGCTTATCCAAATGCTAATAGGTCTCAAAGCTGAGTGGTGTAAAGCCTTTCTTCTTCTCTCGACCTCCTACATATTGCAGCTGATGGAAAAGAGCAGAATTCATCAAGCTATCCCTTACGTAGACTGTGCGAATGTGCCACTTGACTTTGCTTTACAGCTGGTCTCTGTGCACAACGTTCGCACACACGCCACAAAGAGGTGGTCTCCCTRCCAAACACTTCCATAAAGGGACCCAAAGACAGAGAGATGCCAGGAGAACAGACGACCGACTGTGCACATTGTTTGAGAAGCTCAAGAGTTTCAGAGTCAGACACTGTGTGACCAGTAGAAGGAGTGTGTGGGTGAAGAAGTTAGCCAGGCCCCGGGTCCGGCACATTCCTCTCCTGGTCGGAGTCATGTCAGAGCCGCGGGGAGTGTGTGCCAAAGCGCGTGGATGAAAACAGCGAGGCCCTCTCTGGGAAAACACTGGACGGGCATGTTGGCGCGTGGACTCACAGCATCAATGCAGAGGGAGGTTATTGTTACCCTGCAAGCTGCCAAGGCCTCCAACCACCCAAAAAGCAGAGGCAGAAAGCAAAAATATGGTTTCACTTTAGATGACGCCATGCTCTTTGTCTTCTTAAGACTCAGACATGTTTTCTTGATTTAAATCAAATGCTTCAAGTATTGTGAACAACCTCTGACTTGGATTTTCTCTCTCTGTTTCCCTCCCTTACCTTGCCAGTGCCAACTGACAACTAATGGCAATGCCTGTTTTCCATAGACATTTGTGGCAAAGTTTAGTCCAATAATTGTAAGTCTCTTGTACTTAACTGGACCTGTGCAGCCCAAAGCAAACCACAGAGACAAGCAGGCTAATGGGAAACACACCATGTTGATAAAAACCAAGGTTCGGAGCAGGCGGCCTCTCAGTGAGACGGGCTAAAGACTCAGCGGTTCCCTGAAATGTTGATTAAACTCATGTGTAGAGCCGAAATGGAGCCTTCATGTTCCAGACCCCTAAAACCTTAACTGAACCCTCCACTAAAACTAACTCAGGCCTCATTCTTGACAAATAGTAAAGCAATAAACCTCAGATTGGTGATTTATGTACAACAGAGAAATTTTAAAACATCCTTAGGCCATTGCCAGGTTTGTTCATTGTGACAGTAACTGCTCGCTGAATTTGAAACAGTACTTGTGGTTGTTTGAGAGCTATAATGGCCTGTTGATAGCCCATGAGATGCAGAGTAAGTAGGGTGGACAGCTAAAGTACAGACAAATATGCAAAAGTAAATTACTCATCTGGGAAAGTCTTTTATAAAATATACACAGGGAGTGATTAATGTGACAAATAAAGCTTGAGATTCTCAGGCTGAACAAACATCTTTCTGTTAAGCTTCACTAAAAAGAATGTCTGCTAGATTAGCGTAGGGAAGTATCAGTAAGTGTAAAAATAAAATTAAAAAAACCTGAAAAACACATTGTGCACATCCAATGCAGCCCTGAAAATTAGTCAGGCATGTCCTGGAGGGGCTGCATGAAAAAAAATGCTGATTCCAACAGGGTTTGCATTAGATCCACTTTGGAGATAATCAGGCCAGCTACCTTGAAAATGGAAGCATGTAGAAATACAACAGGAAAAATCTGGAGCATTCTTAAAATAACAGAAGTTTTGAGAAGAGTAACCGTGGTTTTACACTGCATCTGCTGCACTCCTGTGAGATGCCCAGAGTAGAAGCAYGTCAGGGAAATGCGAAATGGCGCGATAAAGCCAGCAATAAATACTAAAGTCAGACATCCTGACGCATCTCAGTAATCCAGGTAGAAAAATCAAAAARAAAAAGTAAGTAGGTCCTCTGGACGAGTTCTTTCATGAAATGTTTCGTCTCTCATCCAAGAGACTTCTTCATCAGTCAGAGGCATTTCAGGTAAGGCTGAGTTCACCTGAAACTCTCAGACTGAAGAAGTCTCTTGGAGGAGAGATGAAACGTTTCATTTAAGAACCCGTCCAGA